ACTTTAAAATACGGAATAAATAGTAAAATTTTTTAACTTTTAAACAATTAAACTAGCCGTCCTTAGTCCCTCGCTCCCCTGCCAGTTTATTTACTTCTTAATTATTTTGAGAGTCCTCTGCTAGTTTCTTAAATATGGAGTATAAGAGTAAAAAGTAAAAAAACTACAACGCCATAAAAGCTACATCGGTAAAGAGCAATTGAGCAAAGATGTAACAAATTAATTTAGACAAGTAATTGACGGAAGATCGATAGAGTATTCAGAATTGCTCGACCTGCGTACTGTGTTTGCACTTCTGCGTGAGCTCAACTTCAATTATTTTATTCAAAGATTAATTTTTAATTATAATAGTAATAGGCAAACAAAAAAAATGGAGGCCCCTAAAATTTTGGAGGCCCTAGGCACAAGCCTGGCCTAAATGGCCATAAAGCCGGGTTAGCCGGCTCTGAAAAAAGCTTACACTAATGGTCTGTTTGGATTAAGTGTCGGGAGGTGTTAGTAATGGAAGTGTTAGTAAGTGTTACAATTAACACTTGTTTGGGAGAGAAATTAGGAAGTGTTAGAATGTGTTAATAAGTGTTAGTAAGTGTTACTAATTACCTCCCCAACACTTCAATTGTCCGCTTTTTTAACACCCCAATTTGGAGGGTATTGAGGTGTTGGACGATCCTTGCCCTTTCAAATTCTCGACATCACACTTTTCTTTGCCACACCCTACCACCTGCTTATCTGCTCCTCTGCACAGGCGCACAGCCCTCTCATCTACCTTATCTGATCTCTTGAGTTATTCCAGATTGATTCTTTCATTAGAAATGTAAACAGACTTTAAACATACGGTATTATGGTGAATTGATATATCGTTTGCACAGCCCTCTTGTCAGCTTTCATCTCGCATGCTATTCTTTTATTTGAACTTTTGAGAACTCACCTGAATAAATCGTCACCTGCTCTTCTTTTATTTCTGAAAACACAAAGCCTCACAACCCTCACCTGCGTGATTAGCTTGTGCCATGTTCTTCTTTTATGGCGGTGTATATATAAATTATACTACGTATTATATATGGCCGGCCAGCTTTCATACCTTCTTGATTGGGTTTTGCTGATTTCTTTTATCTATGTTTTGTTTGATTTTTCTGTTTCGTTTATTTCTGTTTTTGCTTTATTTGACAACTCCAATTTGTATTTTTAAAAAGCATAAGGATATTTTTGTAAATTTAAGTGAAAACACTTCCTTTACTAACACTTCAGTTTTTAACTCTTCCAAACGGGGTTAATTTGTGCTTAACACTTACACTTACCATCCTTTCCGGGCCTTTTTAAACACTTACTAACACTTCCATTACTAACACCTTTTCACACTCCATCCAAACAGGCCGTAAGGCTCTGTTTGCAACTGATTGTGCTTAAATAAAAGCACTTTTTGGGAAAAAGTGATTAGTAGTAAAAGTTGGTGGTGTTTAGTAAAATAAGTGTTTTTTGTGTAATAAAAAAGTAAAAAGTAGATTCTACACGAAAATCGAGAAAGTAAAAGTTGGTACTGTTTAGTAAAATAAGTGCTTTTTTCTTAAAAAAATACCAAAAGCATAATTGTTTGCAAACAAAAGTAACATGTGTAAAATTAAATGTGTATACCAAAAGAGTGTACACCAAGCTCCACTCACTACTCCTATAATTTATCCAATGAAGTCACTATTAGTTGGCGTTGACAAAAGAAATCTTTTGTAAAATAATACGAGTACTTCGTACTACGTACTATTCTATTCTTAAATAAGTGTATAACATATTAGATTATTTATTTTCATTCTCCAAAAATTTGTAAAGATAGAGGAGTGCAATATAATAAGGCTAACATAGTCATTAATAACAATAGTACAAACCTCTTACCAGGTATAGATCTAGATCGAAGCACAAAGCAACCAGTTGAAACACTAACCATCACATGAACACCACACACTGGATCAGATCACAAAACTTCTCAAAAAGTAAAACAAGTTGAAGCAATGATCTAATTAATTGGCAAAATGAAAACACGGTCATATAAAGGTCAATAATGAGAAAAGTGTCCATTTGATACTTGAATAACCGAGCACATAAACTTACATAAGAGCCCAGAAACACCTGAACTTATAATTTTCGTAGAATACTGCGTACATCAGTCAAATATGGAGGGGAAGCGCATGGAAAATGATGTAATAACTTGTTAAGTTTTTGTTTAAACTAATCCAAAACATATACTCCGTATAAAACTAAAACGATGACATATTTGATAATTTTACAGATAAATTAAATGAGGTATTAAACGGTACGATCGATAGGTATTATTGTCACTACAAGAAATCCGGATTTTTGTGACGGAATTTAGTGGCGGATGTGAGTTTGACGGGAATCAATGACGGAAATTTGTGGCGGATTGTCATTCGTCGCAGATTTATGGCGGATTCATTCTGTCACCAGTTCGTGGCAGATATTTGTGGCGGCCTGTTTTTTGACACTGATTGGAGGCGGAAATTAGTGACGGAAGAAGTCGCCACTAAACAACGACGGGAATATTCGCCACTAAATTCTGTCACTAAAGTAAAAATGCTACTACTATTAATTTTTTACTCACCAACACATTCCATCTGTTATTTTGTCTCTACAAACTCTACTCCATGTTCAAACATGTTTAAGGTAAGAGTTTATTTATTTCAAAATAAGAATTTGTTTTTTGTTTTGTTTATCTTGTGCTTTTTACCCACAAAATTCAATATTACATCCTTTAACTTATTCTATTTATTTCGTGTTTGAAATTTTGACACAAAATGAGTTCATATATGTTTTTATGAAATATATTTATGTTTATGTTGCTTGTCTTTGAAGTTTAATAGACTAGTTAATTAGTGATAGAGTATAATTCCAATTGCAATAACTAATCTATCAATGCATTTGATATGCGTAAGAAAATAAATAATTTGGTAGCGTAGGACAATATTATTATTTAGGAGAATCCTCCCCAACCTTATAGATTATTTACAAGAAATATTTATAGGCGTAGTATATCATAATGCAATTGGGAGAGATAACTTATACATTTAATGACTCCAATCATAATAGGACTCATGTAACGATTCTCCCGTAACATTTGTATTTAAAGTCTCATTGATGCCTCCGTTTGCTCATCATGTGATATCTGCCGCTACCAATTATCGTCATCCGGTACGATACTTGATGGAGTATATGGTCCAGGAACCCCCGGGCCATAGACTCTTACTTCTCCTACACAGGCCCATTGAGCTCAGGGAACATCTCAGGCCCAAATGCAACGGCCCAAGCCTCGAAGGAGCCCAGAACACACGAAGGCTCCAAATTACACAGGGCAGCCAGTTTCGAGCATACGAAGCCACCGGGAAAAAACGGCAGAAACTGGAGCCTTCGGCAGTATGAGCCCTCGGCATTGGGGGAGCGTTCGGCAACACGAAGCCCTCGACCCCACGAGGAGCCTTCGTCTAAACAGATTCAATCATCGAAGATTCCCTTTGGAGACAGCCAACCATCGCATTTAATGCGACGTCACATCCGCCCACCGCATTCAATGCGGTGAATATGCCGGTGCCACCCCGATTGATGTGACCCCTCGGCCGTTGTATTACTGGCACGTGTACTCCCATCGCATTTATTGCTGCTATAAATAGCAGCCCATTTCTCCTTGTAAACGATCCCAGATCCACACGCTGAGTTCATTTAATAAAATCGACTCTCTCTCTCCTCCTATTTGCTCTGACTTCTCTCTAGTTATTCCCGAAATAACCCCTCGGATAAGATACCCCCGGGTAGACTATCCATCAATACTGATGCCACATAAGCCTTAGAAAGAGTTCATTGACTATATATAAGACTAGTGATAGGGTAGCTCGAGAAGTTCTTTGGCGGGCCTCAACTAGGAAAGACATTTCATGCAAGTATATCATCATCATGGATATGTATGAGGATTGTACTACAAGTGTCTGAGCTAGTGTACATATGACTGTAAAGTCCCCTGTTACTATCAGAGTGCACCAAGAATGGGCTTTGAGCGCTTTTTTATCAACCATAGTCATGGATGAACTTATAAAGTCAATTCAAGATAATATATTGTGGTGTATGATATTTGCCGACGATATTGTATTGATCAATGTGTCGTAATCGGGTGTCAAAGCAAATTTGGAAGTATGACGCAAACATTGAAAAAATGGTAAGGAGATACCGGTCAGTAATATGTTCCATTAATAGGGCTCCATAATTCAGAAAAATGATGAATTAGATAGAGATGTATCCCATAAAATCAGAGTAGGGTTGATGAAATGGGAGAGTGTCTCAAGATTTCTATGCAATCAAGGTATGCGAACAAGACCTAAGGGTAAATTTTAGAGGACAACGATAAGGTATGCATTACTGTATGGAGTAGAGTGTTGGGCAGTGAGAAATGTCACATTCAAAAGATGAGTGTGATAAAGATGTGCATGCTGTGTTGGTTGTGTGCATATACTAGAAAGGATTGCTTAATGAATGAAATAATCAGACAAAATGCGGGAGTAACACCTATATATTGACGATAAGATGCAAAGTCTCGCTTGCGGTGGTTTGGTCATGTGTGTCAGACAAGTTAGAGATGTAGAGAAGAAGCAGAGGCAGAGAAGAGATGGAGAAAAAGATCCAAACAAACGTAGATTAGAGGAGTCAGGGGTGATATGCTTCTTTTGGGTCGGATGAAGGTATCACATTGGAGAGAACAAGGTGGAGGCTGAGTATTCGTGTGGCGGAGTGATCTCGTATCATCTTTTTTTCCTTTATGTTTTTGTTTTTATAACATTTGACCTTTTTTGGTTAGTACATGGACCTATTTACACCTTTTCCCATTATAATAACACAAATGTATCGATTTTACACCCCAAATAATCTCCCCAAAGCTTATATTTTCCCTCTTCCAAAAAAATCCGAACTCCCTCCACTTCTTAAATGAAACCCGCTCAAATATTTGGAATCCCTCCACTTTCTAAAACAAACCCCGCTCAAAAATTTAGCAGCCCAATCCGTATGACCTATATATGTAAATGTCTCATAGCAGCCTTTCATTTAGCTAGCCCTAGCTTCCATATCGCCGCACACCACACTCCCCCCTTCCCCCAAACTAATCGCCGCCGGAAATTACTTTCGTCCGGCCAGCAATTGGGAGTCCAACGACGGCCAGACTCAATCATCAGCTTCCTAAGTATCTACTTCGTTCTCTATTTCTCTGTTTTTTTCTTTTCATTTTCTGTATCGTTGTTCTCTTGGGTTGCTGGGTAGTTAATTCGCTTGTTCTCTTAAACGGCAAATAACATTGACCTGCCTGGATTAAATGTTAAGTAATGTTGCTTCAACAAATTTTGAGATTATTATTCCGTGTTAGTTGCTATAGTATTATAATCTGTGTTACTGTATTAGACTTTCATTGCTTGTTTCTTTGATTTGAGATTCTCAGAAAGTCAAAAATGATTTCATTCTGTGTAAGTGGGGTACTATTGAATTGCAAATAAAGAATTTGAGCTGCTCGGATTAAATGGTAAGTTGAAAAAAATCAGATTTATTGTTGATCTACCCAGTGCTCTGTGCTACGAACTTTAATTTTCAATTCTGTTGTTTTATTTACCCCATATTTATTTTGCTTATTCAATTTTGTTTCTAGTTTACTCATGAAGTTTCTTGTCTTTGCAGAGATTTTTCATGAGTTGTGGTGGATAGCTTGAATCAGCACATTCAATTACAAAAAAAATCCATGAAGCTAAAGTTGACATTAGGATAACTATATAGTTCATGTAGAAACATTCAAATGCACTGTGTATATTTTTAGATATGTTTACTTGGATATGTGATTGTACATCGTTAATGTAGTTGATGTGTATTTAAAATTTTGGAAAGCTTCCGTATGTATTTTTAATATGGTGTGTTAACTGTTACGCAGTTTTATTTAGCAAGTTGTTTAATTTGATTATGAATGATTGGCTATTGGTATGTTATCAGTATTGAAATCTCAGTTTTGACTTCTATGATTTTATTATTTAGATTCAGTTTGGAATATTTTTTACAAATTTTTGAAAAATTACTCTGCATTATGTTTTTTTTTTTTAAATTTTTAAACTAATTTAGTGACGGAATATGTTGGCTGAATATTTGTCACTAAAAATAGTGGCAAATATGTTCGTCACTAAGTTCCGCCATTAATTTGTGACGGAAAGATTTTTTCGCCACAAACCCTATTAATGTCAAGATTTCAGTGGCGGAATGTTGGCCACGAATATCCGCTACTAAGTTGATCTGTGGCAGTTTTAGTGATGGATTTTCCGTCACTAAAATCCGAAATTCTTGTAGTGTGTTTTTTTAGAATTTTTTATAAGTTATTTTAACATTTGTAATGTTTCCATTGAACATATGCATGTTGAACATATGTATTGTTCTTTAGGTGTGTTGAATTTCGAGAATGATTTTAACATTTGTAATGTTTACATCTAATTTTGTTTCAATTCATCGATTGATTTAGCAAGTTAGCATACATCAAAGCTTACAAGGTCTATATATAGATATGTTTTTTTAAGCTAAAGGGTCAAATAGGCCGTTAAACTAACTGAAAGTGTTCAATTAGCCCCTTATATAGGAGGTTCTGCCCGGCCGTCGTCAATTGAGGCGGTTCCCAGTGGAATTTTTTGATAAATTTTTTTTGGCGTCTTCTTCATTAAGTCTAGTTTACCCATACCAAATTTCAGCTAAAAAATCAATCGGGAAGGCAATAAAATGATTTTTTGAAGATAACTGCATAGTTAAACAGCGCAGTACATTTCGGAAAATCATTTGACTGTCTTCCCGATTTATTTTTAGCTGAAATTTGGTGTGGGTAAACTAGACTTAATGAAGAAGATGCTCAAAACAATTCATCAAAAAATTCCACTGGGAACCTCTCCAATTGGCGATGGCCGGGCTGAACCTCCAATATAAGGAGCTAATTGAAAACTTTAAGTTAGTTCAAGGGCCTATTTGACCCTTTAGCCATTTTTATGGGTTTTTTTTATTTTCATTTTATGTTTTTTTACTTTGTTATGCTCTTCACTTCTTTGTTGAAGACTTCGATATCAGGTTTACAAAAATGACTCATAATTCAGCAAGTTATTTTAGGGCATCCACATCCATAGATTATTTTTTAGATCATTTTGATGACGTGGAGGAATTTTTTGGGATCATGGATGAGGAGTTGAGATTATTTGATAAAATAATCAGGTATCAAATTCTAAAACTGAATTATTTCGAGATTATTTCCAACTTTTAGACTCTTCTCCCAATTTTCTAGGCATACTCATAATTGCAAAACCATATTCCAACCAAATGCTACTTGTACGTATATCTTTTAAAGGAATTATGCATGTATTTTTTTATCTTGAAAATAGTGTATCTCTCATAAAATATCATGGTAAATTAAGATCATGGTTGAGGAGATTTTTTTTATTTATAGATTATTTGAGATTTATCTTAAGTGTAAGTGACTAAGCCATTGAAAAACCGTAAAATTGAGTAGCATCAATGTGGAGTCCGATTTTGTTCACCCCACTAAGGAGGGTGAACATCACCCTCACCCTTTAATGCATGCCATTTGACATTACATTTCTTTTTTTCCTTAAATTTATTATAACTTTTTAATTTCTAATCTAATTTTCACAAAAAAGTATATCAGATTTAATATCTCTTTATGATGTTTCCAATTATATCCATATTGCATACAAATAAATTAAACAAAAAATCATTTTTTCTTAAGTCTATTTTTAACGGTTTTTTTTATTTTACATATGTAATATTGATACCGTATGAAAGATCATAAAATTAAAAATATTGATATATTTTTCGAAAAAATCGAACTAAAAACGAAAAAGTTATAACAATTGCCAAATTTTAAAGAATTACCATGTCATGTGGCAGCCTAGTAGGGTGGGGGTGATGTTCACCCTCATTCGAGGGGTGAACAAAATTGTTCTCTATTTTATGTCTTTGGAATTATGAGTATCTATTTGGCCAATGATTATTGTGTCAAAACTTGTTTGGTGATTAACTATTCATGTTGTTCTGCTAGATTCTTTGTTCAACTGTGGGGTTAATAATGACAATTGATTCATGATAATATAGAGCCCATTTGGTAGCACGAAAATTGACTTACTTGGCTGATTTTGCTGAAATTTATGAAATTCTGGCTGAAGTGCGTGGCTGCATTGGTTGATTCTGCTGTTTTAGGGAAAAAATATTTTTAAAATGTAGTTTATTAATAAAATAAAGAAAACGTTATATGCAAAAATAGCTAAAATGGTCACCTACAGTAACATTAGCCAATACAACCAGAAAAGTAACTGCAACCTTACTTTTTCTGCTTATTACACATTTAAGCGCGTGAAAGCAAGAGTTACGTGTTTGGTGAAAATTTGGCTGATAAGCCTGATAAGCTGAAAAACAGTGTTACCAAACGGTCTCATACTTTTTGTGAGTATTGATTGTTTTTTCTATAATTGATGCAATACTCCTAAGTTTAATGATGTCACGATTTCTAATACAAAAGAACCCGCGACAAGTTACATTTGTCATCTCCCATGAGAGTTGTTGCCCCAATATTTCATTTTAGACAAACTCAAGAAGCACTTATAACATTTATGTCCAAAAACTTTATTATGAGTTGTCACAGTTCTAAAAGGGAGATTTTTCAAAATAGGAATAATTGATGTTTGGAATTCTAAAATATGACTACTATGTTTTTATTCCCGAAATAGGACTAACATGATATTAGTTACTATCACCTTATAGGAATACAACACAATGCATTTAACATGACAGTATTTATCGTAATTAATGATGATATGTTTCAATCATCACAATATGTTTCCTACATGGCAGTTACAACTCCTATTTTGGGAAGAAAAACATAGTAATCATATAGGGAAAATTCCCGAAATAGAACTAAAACAGTTTGATAATTCCAAAATAGGACTGACATGTTTTTTATTCCCAAAATAGGAGTAATTACTGTCAAGTTTGGAAAATACTGCCATGCTTGAAGTCTGGTACTGCCAAAACATGACAGTAATTAGTCCTATTTTGGAATTAAAATCATGACAGTCATATTTTAGAATTTTCATACATTTTTAGTCATATTTCGGGTAATATCTCAATCATATATTGAAATCCCAAATCTCATTTAGTTCTATTTAGAGCAATTTCCCATTCTAAAACTCAAAGTAACCTCTAACGCACCACACTACCACTCATGCGAAGACCGATCTAGCGGGACTCTCCATGCGTAGACCTCCCCCATCCAACAATCATTATCGGAGAATTGAATGAATCACACATGAAAAACAGAAAATTAGGAGCATGATTGCAGATTAGTTTTTCAAATTTAGAAACAAAATAAACATTTTTTCGCTTTCAAATTGAAGTATCAGACAATTTCTTTGGGAACGAAGTTTTTATTGTGCTTGCAATTTAATACGGAGTACTTGCAATTTCAGCTAGGACATTGAACTGTTCTAAAAGCGCAAAACAACTCTAATTCTCTTCCCATTCGCTTGTGAGGCCGCCAACCGCCGAAACAATAAGTAGACGAACAGGCCATTTGGTTACTAGTGATAGAATTATTATTCTTACACATTATCTACGTAAAATACTTGTATTTATCTTTCCAACTTTACATGTATTTTATCACTTATCTTGTACTACCTCCGTCCCACTAAGATTGGGACGGAAGAAGGTGACACAATTATTAAGAAAAAAGGGTTTGTGTGGTTGATATTAAATTGATAAAGTAAGAATAAAGTAAGAATGGTTTGAAGCCACACAATCTTTACCAAATTTGGTATGGGACAATCTTAATGGGACTTCCCGAAAAAGTAAAATGGGACAATCTTAGCGGGACGGAGGGAGTAATTCATTCTTATCACTTGTAACAAACTGAGCTACACATGCTCTATATGTATTATAAATACACACGGCTACAGATCATAAGGTCTAAGCCTTATTTGCCATAATATCGTTCATGGTATCAGAGCCATCAATCTTCTAAAGATTGAACAGATCCATTTTTTTTTCTCAAGCAATTCTTCTTCATCATGCCAACTTCCTCTTCTCCTGTTAGCAGTTTTATCCCTACGGATACAACCCCCCAACTCATTTCACTTAATGCATCTTCCCAAATTCCAATTAAGTTGTCAAAGGATGGGTGTAATTACTCTTCCTGGAAGTCTCAAATTACCAATCTTCTTTTTGGTTATGATCTCTTAGGTTACGTCGATGGCACTAAACCGTGCCCAAAATCCGATGACACCACCTACACCTTTTGGTCTCGACAAGATCGTCTCGTACTTCTAGCCATCCAATCTACAGTGACAGTCAACATATGCCCAATCATCAATTCGTGTGCTACTTCAGCCGCTGCATGGCAAAAGCTGGAATCCAGCTTTGCTAATACCTCTACAACACGTATGCTATCTCTTCTCTCAACCCTCATGAATACCAAGAAAAATGGTAAAACTGTCACGGAGTACATGAACACTTTGAGGACTCTTATTGATGATCTCGTCACTATCGGTCACCCTCCTAGTGACGGCCAAATTGCGTCTTATGTCCTTGGCGGCCTTGGTGGTGAATTCAAAGATCTTGTTGGAGCGTTGCGTGTGCAGGCCAAACCTCCTTCCTTTGAAGATCTTCGCCACTATCTACAGGATGCGGAACTCCTCTCTGGAGAGTCCACTGCCACCTTCGACGTCCCTGTTACCGCCCAATATTCTCAACGCCGGAACAATTTCCGTGGCCGCGGCGGCCGCGGCGGACGTGGCAGCACCTCGGCTATTAACCACTATCAAGGGTTTGGTCATCACAGTTCTCCCGACTCTCCTACCGGCTCTTCAAATCGCTCTCCTAATAAGTCATCCGTTCAGTGCCAAATATGTGACAAATTTGGTCATATTGCCAAGAATTGCTACTCTTACAAAGGTTTCCCACCGAGAGCTCACAACGTTACTAGCAATGATCCAGGGACTAACACCGGTTGGCTTCTTGATACTGGAGCCACTCATCACA